TGATTGAGGTGTCACTTCTATGGGGCTGGTGGCTGTTGGCTAGGTGCTGGGATTGGGAGGGGGGCGAGAGGTGATTGGGCTTCAGGTGGCGCCGGCGGGAACTGAGGACCCCGAAGAGAAGCCGGAAGTTTGCCATCTTACTGGTGAGGACCCTTCAATGAGTATAAAATAGTAATCCACTGTGATTTAGATGTATATTTCTCTGATTACTAGTACAGTCAAGGCATCTTTTCACATGTGTAGCTGGCCATCAGGTCTTTTATAGGTTGTTATAAAAATTATCTTCAGAGTGTCCCTTAGATTCTTCCATAATATGAGAAAATGATAACAAGGCAAGTGTAAAAATATTAAGGAATGCTGTTAACCAATGACTGAATTTTTAAGCTGTTGGCCAGAATAAGAGCAGTCACTTTTATTTTTGTTAAGCTATGATTCATTCTCCAACTCATTGTAATCTGATTTGTTCTTCTGCTCACTCTATTTCTTTTTAAAGTGGGGCAGTTCAATGTAAGCCAACCCTTTCTATTTGTGTCTAGGCCTAGAGAACTCCATGTAGAATAAGAATACAATAAACCTGGCATTTGCAACAACTAGAGGATTTTTGTTACCCCAAGCAAGACTATGCCCTTGGGGAACCTGCATTTCTAGTTGAAAATATCCCTAAAGTAGATTTTACCTGGAGTGGGTGTGAGTCAGTCACAACAGCCAAACAATTTCATCAGGGGTTACTCAGATTACGTTACAGCCTTTCGATTAGAATGACATCTTGTTTGCCTCATATAAAATATTGTGCTTGAATGGGAGGTTTAGCAGTAAACAAGACCCAAAGGGTTCCTTGCTTTATGGAATTTTCATTCTTGAAGAGATTCTAAAATTAAGCCATGAATCACACAATTAATTGTTTAATTACAATTGGGATAATTGTCTGAAAGAGACTTACAGCATCATAAAGAAGATAAACAGTAGGAAGCCCAGACATAGTCTAGAGTGCAAGAGGCAGTGTGGATAGCCTCTAAGATGGCCCCTGTCTTAGTTCAGGCTGCCGTGACAAAACATCACAGACTTACACAACAAAAATGTATTCTTAACAATCCTGGAAACTGGGAAGTTCAAGGTCAACATGCCAGTTGTTTCTGGTGAGAATTCTCTTCCTGGCTTATAGGCAGCTACTGTATCCCTGTGTCCTCACAGGGAAGAGAGAGAGAGAAGGGACCAGGGAGAAGGATCGGGGAAAGGAAGGGAGAGGCAGAGAACTTCTTTTTGGTGTCTCTTCAGATAAGGACAGTAATCTTAACAAATGAGCCTCCCTCCTTGCCTTCTTACCTCCTTATAGAGCATGTATCCAAATACAGTCACATTGAGAGTTAGAACTTCAGCATATGAATTTGGTGGTGGTGGTGGTGGGGAACATGACACACTTTATCCCATAATGGACCCCAGTATTCTCTGCCTCATGATATTCATGCTCTTGTGTAGTCCCCTTGACTGTGGGCTCCACCTGGTAACTAAGAAAAAGAATATGGTAAAAGTGATGGGATGTTACTTGCGAGATTAGTTTACAAAAGGCCTGCGGCTGCTGTTGTGGATGTCATTGCTTGCTTGCTTGTTCTGAGGCAAGTCAGCTGCCATCTTGGTAGGTGTCCTGTGGAAAGGGCCTCATGGCAAGGAACAGAGAGAGGCCTCCAGTCAGTGAGGAACTGAAGCTCTGGATCCAATAGCTTACAAGAAACGGAATCCTGCCACCGACAGGAGTGAGCTTGGAAGCAAGCCCTTTTCCAGGTGAGCCTTCAGATGAGACTGCAGACTTTGCCTATAACTTGACTACAACTTCATGAAGACCTTGAAGCAGAGGCATCCAGCCAGACCTTCCTGGGTTCCTGATCCACAAAAATTGTGAGATAATAAATGTTTTTTTAAGTCATTGAATTTTGGGTAACGTATGCAGCAATAGATAACTAACACAAGGCACTTCTTGGAGGGAGTGACTCTTAGGGATATGAAATGTGATGGGAGTTACTAGGTGGCAGAATTGAAAGGAAAGCAAGATCGTTCTAGGCAAGGACACTGACACCATAGGGGCAAGGGCACCAGCAGAAATGTTGTTGACAGAGTGATCTCAGTGGTCAGTCCCTTCTGGGAAGCTCCTTGTCAGAACAGAGCTGCCTGCTCAAGCTCTCATTCCCTCCGGAGGCAGCCTGCAGCCAGTGACTGGTTGATGTCGGGTACAGAAGCACAGCTCTCTTGCCCCATCTTGGGACAACTCTGAAGGGCCATTCCAATTTTAGAGCTCCCCAGAGGGCTTGCATAGGCCTTTGCTGAGACTACATTGCAGCCCAACTTCTCCCTTTGCCCTGTTCCCATACCTTTTTTTCCAAGTGTTGATCACAAAAGCACTTTATAATAAATTTCTTGCATGCTAGAATATACTTCCTGGGGAGCCCAAGTATGACAGCTGGTGCCAGAAATGCCAGGAGTGGTTGAAGCAGAAGTCCCTAACATGGGATTTTTGGTGTTGGATGACCTGCTGCCAGGCTGGAGGGCTTTAATATAGTGCTTATCTTACATACTCTTTAAGCCATTTCCTTCACTGTCTTATCTGCACTGCCACTCTTAGTACCCACAGGTTGTTGATTGAACATCCATTTGGTCCTCCTCCTAATTGATCTTCTTATAGATAAAGAAATGAGAGATTTCATCTTCACCCTTTTATCTTCAGTACAAAAACTGCCTGGCCTTCACTCTGTGATCGACATGAACATTTATAATTTATGGGTAAGCTTGGTGCTCTTCTATTGTTTTTTTAATTTTTATGCCCCTCTTCCACCCCTACCCACAACCCCCTTTCAAAAAGTCGCTTGTTTGGGATCTTAAATTCCTCAATAATGACAGAGAGTTTCCAAGTTCCCTGTACTCTTGCCAGAGTTGGCATTTGTGAGGTGTCGGCAAAGGTTACTGGCTGGCGACAATGACCATAAACCATAGGAGACAGACTTCTAAGAGACTAGAAATTGAGCAAGCTGTCTGTCAAAATTAAAACCTTCCTAGTTTTTAGAATGCATCATCATATGTCTGAAAAATCCGTTTAAAGGCCAAAGATAAGACGGGCCGGCAATCAATGTGCGCAAACCGATTTCTAAATTTTATTTTCCAAATTGTAAAATAAATATAGACCATTCTATAGATCGTTTAGAAAGTAGGGAAAAACCCGCACGCCACCATCCGCACACAACGATTTAACCATCTTGACGCGTCCGGCTTGCCCGTTCGCTCTCCGCGGGTCAAGCCGGGACCTTCGCAGCTGCCGGACCGCGGCGCCCGGGGCGGTGCTGACGCGCCGGGTGCGCCGTCGCCACGGTAACCGCGGAAGCCCGGGGCCTCGGGCGCGGTGAGTCGGCGGTCCCAGCCCGAGGGCTGGTGGGAGGGAGGGGGAGGGGAAAGGGGGAGGGGCCGAGCCACCCGAGCCCGGTTGCTCGGGCGAGGCTGGAGGCGAGGCGGCTTCCGTGGCGGCGCGTGCCGGCTTCGCCTCTGCCCGGAGCTTCGCGGAGCGGCTCCCGCCCCTCGGGCAGCCTCGGGGGACCGTGGACGGCCTCTCGGGGACGCTGGCGCAGGGCCAGCTCTGGCGTCCGGAAGTGGCCGGTGTTCCCCGCGCCCGACCGGTGTTCTGGTTGCGCCGGGCGCTGCTCCTCCGTATCCTTTAATACGGGCCAGCCCTTTGTGTGGCTGCCCCTCGGGGCCTTCTCCTTAAGGTGGGTCGGAAAATCCTCAAGGGACTACATTTTTTGAAGAAAAAATTCAATTGGCTTAAGATCCTTAAGATGTATTCCTTTTAACTTCACACTACCTCGTGTGCATGCTTGCCCTTCGTTTACGCTTCTCCCAGTACCTGGCTGGCCCTTTTCTCTTGAGACTTGATACTGAAATCTCACCTCAGGAAGCCTTTGGAGACCTAATTTAGACGTCCAGCCTCCCTACTCTTAAAACACCCTTTGCTGACCTCCACTGTATCCCTCATCTCACTCTGTCTGCTGGTTCGCTTGTGTCTTGCCCACTAGACTGTGCCCGCCCGTGGGGTAGGGACCGTGATCTATGCGATTTCTATTTTTGGTGCCTTAGCGGCCTCAAAAAAGTTCACGTTTAGTTAGAAGGAAAAGTTTATAGCCTTGTTTTCCCACACCCATTTAATGTGGCAGAGCAGGTGCTATTCTCATTTCACAAATGAGGAAAGTGAGGTCGGAAAAGCTGCACAATTAAAAAGTACCAGAATCAGGATTGTCTTGGGCCTTCTGCCTTCATAGTTCCAGCCCTTCTGCTCTCCTCACCATGTCCATATTCTGTATGAACTTTTGGTTATATGTGTGTTGAAGTTGCAATTTTGATTCATGTTAATAACTTTTATGGGCAAAGAAGATGTAATTTATTTTTGCTTATGACTGATCTGGTTTCGTTCATAAGCATTCCCTCACTGACTATTAAAAAAAAAAGTTGAACTGTTCAATTGGTTTTAAAGTTTATTCCAATCTGTGATTGGTTTCTTTAGTTAATGTTTAATTTATCTAGTACAAAAATGCTTAGGTTCTCAGATAACTTCTCCCCTGATTCTCACCTTGAGATGGTGCCCTGGTATGTGAATACATGTGAATGGCTCATGAGATCAATGGGGAAGGGTCTGGGCTCATGTACCTTGTGAACAGGTGTCTCCTGGCTTGGTCAGGCCTCAATAGCTCCCCCTCCCTCTAGTTGCACTGAGCTTTTGCTGTGACTTCCCCTCCACCCTGGCTGGGTCGATTTGCCACACAGGCCTCCCTTTCTAGAGGACTTCCTTTCCCTGCTACAGGAACCAGGTGGCGGCAAGCCCCAGCAAGACTCAGCTACTCCTAGGTTTCATATATGTCCTATAACAGTGGCCCTCAAACTTTTTGGTCTCAGGACTCCATTACACTCTTTAAAAATTATTGATCCCCAAAAGCTTTCCTTTATGTGGGTTGTATCTATCTGTACAATACAGATTAAAAATATAGTAAGAAATAGAAATTAAAACTGACAATTTAAAGTGTTTCTTTCTTTTAATAGTAACAAATACAAACCTGTTATATGTTAAACAGAAATTACATGCTTCTCATGGAAAATAACTTTTCTAAAACAAAAATAATAGTGCAATTAAGTTTTTTCAAAATATAGAATGTCGATACAAGGAAGAAAGGAAAGCTATATTATTTTATTAGTACTTATAATCACAATAAAATATTTAAAAATTTTTATTTTAAATAGAACTCTAAAGCTTCTATGTGACAAGAAGAAAAAAAACAAAAAATAGAATTCTTTGCTCTGTTGTCACATGATAGAATGTAATGAAGGACATAGCAGTAGGCCACCAGGCACATGACAGGAGACTTTATGTTTATATTCCTATTCCTAATTAGATCTGTTTTTGAAGTCAAGCGTAAGAATAAATGCCCTGAAAGACTTCACTTTGTCCTTTTATTTCAGAAAGGCTGATTCTTTAGTCTACATTTGAAGTGGAATGGCCTTGAGTGTAACTATAAACCAGAATGACTTGAGGGTTAGTCCTAGTTCAGTGGTTCTCAAAGCATGGCCTGAGGAATCCCTAGAGATCCCTAAGACATTTTCTGGGAGTCTACCTGTCAAACTATCTTCATATTAATTTTTAGATGTTATTTGCTTTTATAATCTCATTCTCACATGTTACAGTGGTTTTCCAGAGGTCATGTGACAAATGATATTCCAACATCACATGTCATTTCAGTGAATGCAGAAGCAGATGTGAGAATCCATCTGTCTTCTATTCAGACAGATATCTATTAAAGAGATTTTTTAAAATGTAAAATAATGGCACTCTGTAAACTATAGTTATTTTTCTTAAGCTATATTTTTATGTTAACATAATTGTTTTAAGATGAATTAATAAACATTTTAAAGATTTTTCAGTTATAATTTCTAAGATGGTAAATATTGATAGATGTAACCCACATAAACAAAAATGTTGTGGGGGCGTTTCTCAAGTTTTAAGTGTAAAGAGCCCTGAGATCAAAGAATTTGAGAAACACTGCCCTAATCATGTTAGTTCTGGGCTGATAATGGAAATTAAGCTCCATTCAAGAGTCTTCTTGTGAAATACTCATAGTTTTGAGTATTCTGGGCTGAATCATATTTCCAGATTTGATCTAGTTTATCTCCAAATCTCTGAATTAACCTGGGGTCAGACTGATTTCTATATATAGAACAATCTGTCTGTAATCAAATGTTGGATAGTGGTGGAGTAGAAAATCCTTACTTAAACCCTATATAGGAAAAGTGTGTATTAAAAAAAAAAAAAAGATGTACCATCTTTTCTTTTGCTTCATGGATGCTTTTGCTGGAAGATTAATGGTATAGTGATGATGATAGCTTCTGCCTACTGGGTGCTCACCATATGCTTGGCACATGCATCATCTAATTTAGTTCTCAGAACGATCATATAAAGTAGGTTCTAATGTTAGTCCTATAAGTGATTAGCTAAATTGTCTGCTATTGTGCAGCTAATAAGTTGCAGGGTTGGATTGTGGACTCAAGCCTTTCTGACTCCAAAACTTGCTCTTGGCTGTGAAGAGAAGTAGTAGCAACTACAAGCCTAACATTAATAGTTATTGAACACACACGACATACCAAGAAAAGTAAGTTTGAAAGTGATGAAAGAGAAATACAAGGCTTGTTCCTTGCCCCCATCCAGTGTGCAATCTAATTGAGTAGATGTCTTATGTACTGAAATAAATAGAAAACAATATAATGGCATATTTGGTAAGTTGTATTGTACAGACTGTATAGAATGGCCTTCAAAGTTTAGAGGAGGGACAGAGGCCCAGGTGCATTGTAGAGAGTAGTCAGGGAAAATTTTGGGAAGAAGGAAGGATTATAGTTTAGCCTTAATGGGATTTGGCTAGTAATCCTAGAATGGAGGAGAAAAAATCTATTCTAGGCCTAGTAGCAGGAATATATCTGAAATACAAATAGGATTGTCTCACTATTTGTAAGGTTTCATGTCTGGGCCCTTGCTAGGTGAGTGAGGAAAGGCATTCCAAACACATCCTGCCTCTATTGTCCAAGGGTTAAAAATGGATATATTTAGCAGAAATGTTCCAGAAGGTCATAACATTATTAACAGAGTGACAAAATAATTTATTGTGTAGTAGTAATAGGCACTTTTGAGAGTGAAAGAGGATGCTATTAAACATAACACCACAGGAATAGATGTAACGAACTGTCCTGATAACATTGGGACATATGTCACCCAAGCTATTAACCATAAGCGCATGCTGTCTAATTTCTGCTAGATTCTCTCATGTTGATTTCCTGGTATAGTCTCCATATTGGATTTTCAAGACTAATGTTTTTTCACAGTGTGTATTGCAACCCATTAATGGGTCATGAAATCAGTTTAGTGGGTGACACTTAGCCCTTAATAATAGAATGGGAGTAAAAACATCAGTATGTTACATGTAATAAGGATAAATAGTATTTTGCTTAATTATATATATGCAAATATACCCATATATGCAATGTATCCAGGACAAACGTGTCTATTATTACTGAACAATAAGTTTTTTGGTTATTCTATTAATAGATGTTATATATATTTACATATATATAATTAAAAAGAGATCATAAACTAATATATACTACATATTATAATAGAAAAATATATATACAGTATATAACACAATATAAACAATATATAAAATAATGTATAAATATTTGGATAGGACATCAGCTTCATAGTCTAAATTTGCTGTGCATGCTCTAGTCATCCTGCTTGCAAATAGTGAGAAGGAACTATGCTTTCCTAGAAGTTGCATACTATGTATCTACATCTTATTGTCGGCTACTTGGACATAAGGCTACACCATGTTGTAACAGAGACTGGGAAATAATCTTATTCTAACATAAATATTGGCTTAAAAAAATGTGGTTAAAGGAAAAGAGAATGGGATTCTGTTCCTACAGAAGGGGAGATTAGATTTTGGGGAAGACAACCATTAGTGCTATATCTGGGCCCCACACAATCATCAGGAGGCTGGAAATGAGCAGGTCCCAAGGGAGCTCTGGAAGATTAGAGCACGAGAACCACAGCATATTCTCCTAGCAGGAAGTTTGATCAATATACTGTTGCTGTTGCTTGTAATGAATGACCTTCAACTAGCCTCATGTCCTCGTGTCCCTTGTTCAAGAGTCAAGATCCTGGTCGTTTATACATAGAAGCTAAAAAACTGAACTTTGATACAGAGAACAGATTGGTGGTTGTCAGAGGCAGGGGGTGGGGGCAGGTGAAATGGGTGAAGGTGGTCAGAAGGTCCCAACTTCCATTTATAAGATAAATAGATTCTGGGGATGTATTGTACAATGTGGTTACTATAGTTAACAATACCGTATTGAATTGAATACAATACTGTATTGTATTTGAAAGTTATTAATAGATTAGATCTTAAAAGTTTTCTTCATAAGAAAAAAATTTTTGCTTAACTGTGTGAGGTGATGGATTTTACCTGAACTTACTGTGGTGATCATTTTGAAAAATATACATACATCAGATCATTATGTTGTACACCTTAAATGAATACAATGTTATATGTCCATAAAAAAAGGTAATTCAGAGATTAAAAACAATAACAAAAGGGTCAAGATACTGGGATTGAGCAGCTGAGTGGCTGTGCTTAAATTATGTGCCTGCCCCCAAGTGTGTGCTGCGACGGAGAGGAGGAGGGTCTTGCCTCTTTGACTTCTGTAGTGGAAAGTTACCTTTATATTACATTAGAATTCTCAAAAACGGAGACTGGGAGTGTGTGTGTGTGTGTGTGTGTGTGTGTGTGTGTGTTGGGAGGGTACAGAGCTGGATACCAGGCACTCAAAAGAATTATAAGTTTCCTCTACATTTATTTTGTAAAATGAAGGAAATGAATGAAACAATCTCAAAGATAAAATTTGGACCAAATCAGAGAAGTGCAAATTAAAACCACAATGAGATATCACCTCACACTAGTAAGGATCACCATCATCCAAAAGACAAAGAACAACAATGTTGGTGAGGATGTGGAGAAAGGGGAACCTCCCTACACTGCTGGTGGGAATGTAAACTAGTTCAACCATTATGGAAAGCAGTATGGAGGTTCCTCAAAAAATTAAAAATAGAAATACCATTTGACCCAGGAATTACCCTAAGAACACAGCAGCCCAGTTTGAAAAAGACAAATGTGCCCGTATGTTTATCACAGCACTATTTACAATAGCCAAGAAATGGAAGCAACCTAAGTGTCCATCAGTAGGTGAATGGATAAAGAAGATGTGGTACCTATACACAATTTAGCCATAAGAATATTATTCAGCCATAAGAAGAAAATAAATCTATCCATTTGCAACAACATGGTTGGAGCTAGAGGGTATTATGCTCAGTGAAATAAGCCAGGTGGAGAAAGACAAGTATCAAATGATTTCATTCATCTATGGAGTATAAGAACAAAGGAAAAACTGACGGAGCAAAACAGCAGCAGACTCACAGAACCCAAGAATGGACAAATAGTTACCAAAGGGAAAGGGACTGGGGAGGATGGGTGGGAAGGGAGGGATAAGGTGGGGAAAAAAAGAAAGGGGGCATTATGATTAGCATGTATAATGTGGTGGTGGAGCATGGGGAGGGCTGTACAACACAGTGAAGACAAGTAGTGATTCTACAACATCTTAGTACGCTGATGGACAATGACTGCAATGGGGAATGTGGGGGGAACTTGGTGTTGGGGGGAGTCTAGTAAACATAATGTTCCTCATATAATTGTAGAGTAATGATAGAAAAAAGAAATTTTGGTTGATTGGCTACCTCAGTTCCCACTCCCAACTCCCCAACTACCTTCTACCTTGCTTGCTTCTATTACAGAGGCAGGAGAATCAAGGTCCTTGCCTTTTTTTTCTTTTCTTAAATATAGGAGCACAATCTGGCCTTTGAGATATAACTGGAAGTTTGCAGGGACTTGTTAGGAAAGATTTTGCTTTCCTCTTAAAAGGGATGGATGCCACTAGTATTCTCTGGGAGTTCTCCCTTTTTTTCTGCCATGAATGCAACTATGATGCCAGGAATTATGATAGCCATCTTGTCACCATGAGATGATAGTCATGATGAAAGATGAAAGTCTTACACATTATGACAAAAAGAAGGATAGAAACAGCTTGGATTGGTATTTTTTGAGCTGCTGAACTGTCTCCACCTTTGTATTTCTTGTTATGTAAGAAAACAAGCTCCTATTTTTAAAAGTCAATCATTATTTTTCTATTATTTGCAATCGAAGAAGTCCTAACTTCAATAGCTTGTAAGTGTTATACACATTTAGTAAAAGTAGAGATTAATATAGGCCTCTTTGAGATGTTATTCTGTCTAAATAGATTTCTCTTCTTTCTGACTTCTGCATTGACCAAATCTTGCCCATTCTTCATGGCCCAGCTTAAATGTCATTCTTTACTAAATATATGATTTTTTACCTCTCCCAAATCTTTCCTCTCCCTGTTCCTACAAACACTATCCTGAATCTTATGTTCAATCTTGCTTTTCTTCTTTTTAAAATAGTGTTACTGTGTCTAGTTGCTTTGAACTTTACAGAAATATATCTTGATATAGTCTTTTGGGTTTTCTTAAGTTTAATATTATTTTTCTAAGATTAATTCATGTTATTGTGTGCCTCATTTATGCTGTATAACACATTACCCCCAAATTTGGTAGCTTAAAATAGCACACATTCATTATCTCCCATTTATCTGGGTCAGGAATCACAACACAGCTTAGCTAGATCTTTAATTTCAGGGTCTTTTATGAGGCTGCAGTCACACTCATCTCAGGGTTCAGCTGGGGCAGATCCACTTCCACACTCAGTGGTTGTTGGCAGAATGAACTTCTTCAGAGGCTAATGAACTGAAGGCCTTGGTTCCTTACTGACTGTTGGCCAGAGGCTGCCCTGTCTTTCTTAAAGGGTGGTCCTCTCTGTCATAGTGTGTGCGAAGAGCCAGGGACAGAATCCAGCAAGACCAGTCACAGTCTGTTGTATCCAATCTATGGAAGTGACATCCCATTGCTGTTGCTCTTTTCTCTTCATTAGAAGAAGATCACTGTGTCTAGCCTGTATGCAAGGGGAGAGAGTCACACAAGGGTGTGAACACCAGGAGGGAGGAGCCATGTCAGAAGCTGCCTACCACATGGGGGGCCATTGTAATGTGTTCATTTTAATTACTGTATAATCTTGTGTGTAAGTATGCACAGTCTAGGCTCCTGTTCTGGGGCATTGTTTTTTTTTCCTGCCCAGGATTTTTGCTGTTATGAACAGTGATGCTACATTCTGGTACATATGAGAGGACCATGCTACTCTTCTCTGAATTATTGCCAATTTAGTATATCTTCCACCAGACTGAGCATTATTAAAATTTCCTTGGTTAATTCTACCTGGAATTAATGTCATCCCTTCTAAATGCCCACAGCACTTCATCTCTTATGATATGTAGCACTTGTCACCTTTTATTACACTTATTTTGTACATGTCATATTTTCTCCTTTGAGATAGTAAGTTGTGGAGGGCAGGAAGTAAGTTTCATGCATCTTTGTACTTTACATAGTGCCTACATAGCACTCATTATAATAGTAAGCTTTCAGTAAGCATTACTGAGTGAATGAATTCTGTCTAAACATCAGTGCCTAAATTTTAAGGTCTTAATAATCTGGCTCTAATGATCCAGTATTTCTCACTTCTCCCCAACATGGACCCTTGTTTATGCAGGTGAGTCTCTTTGACTTTCTCTTTCAATCTTTTCCTAATGAATCTAACCCACATTGGTCTCTTTTTTTCTCCTATTCTTGTTGAATTTACTGTTTATATCTCACATTCAGCCTTTTGGTATATATTCAGTCACTGTATTGACTTATAGTAGGTGTATAATAAACTTTATTGATTGAATGGATGAAGTATTTCTAATTATTTTATATAACTTTATAATCATTTTCAACCAGTTAAGCATTTTCACCCCAACTGTATTGCCAATTCACTGGTCAAGAAACAAATACTGATTTGTTTGGATAGATTTCTATTACTTTTTTTTGGTCCTAGGTATTTTTGGAGTTAATGGAGTCAGAAGGACCTGTGGAGTCAGAGAGTTCGGAAAACTCAGCATTTTTCTCACAGCAAGAAGAAGATGTTGAAGAAGAAGACGACACCAAAGCACCGGATGGAACAGGCACCGTCAATCCCTTTGTACAGCTGGCTCTCACTGGGGATGTAGAAGGCTTGCAGAAGATTTTTGAGGACCGTGAGAACCTTCATCATGAGCAGGCCATGCAGCTACTCTTAGAAGAAGACATCATTGGGAGAAATTTGTTGTATGCGGCTTGCATGGCTGGGCAAAGTGATGTGATCAGAGCTTTGGCTAAATATGGTGTAAATCTGAATGAGAAAACCACTAGAGGTATTTTTTCTTTTCTCTTTTATCAGTATTGTGATTATCTAATGATGGTATGCACTATCTTTAAAGTTGGGTAAATTTGATGTGCCTGCTTTATATTTTGCATTTATTATATATGTATACAAAGATGAATGTATGTGTGCATGTACATGTTGCTATAATATAGCATAGTAGTTAAGAACTTCACTATTGTGAAGTAGTTAAGTAGCATAGTAGTTAAGAACAGACTTCACTATTGTTAGCTGTGTAAATTGGGTAAATTACCTATTCTTTTTGTGTCTGTTTCTTCATCTATGAAGTGGGGATAATAATTGTGCTTTCCTTATAGGGTGTTAATGAGGATTAAGTAAAATAATAAATATAAATATCTTATCACAGTACTTGGCACATAATAAGTTGATATACAGAAAATAATTAATAATTATTTCTTTCCTTTGAAGAGTTACTGGTTTTAGTAATTATCTATACTTTTAATTCAATCATTTGTTTTTTCAGATTACAAATACAATACATGGTCACTGTAGAAAATAAAATAATGATCTCTAGCAAATAGGGAATATGTATTTTCTTCATGCTCACATGGAACATTTAAAAAAATTGACCACATGTTAGGCCGTAAGGGAAATCTTAACAAATATCAAAGAATCTTTGGCTTGCAGTGTTTGGTGTCTGACCACAATAAAATAAAATTAGAAAATAGTAACAAAAACATAACTGAAAATCTATAAATTTGGAAGCAAAAATATACTTTAAATCATCTGTTGGTCACAGAAAATATAATAGAAATGATGAAATATTTCAATGGCAACAGGATTACTATATGTCAGACCTATGGAATAAAGTAATTTAAATTCTAGTTTAATGCATGTATTAGAATATAGGAAACATTGAAAACCAGGAAGCAAAGCATCTGACTCAAAGACTTAGAAAAACAACTGAGTGATCCACAGGGAGTAGAAGAAAAGAAATAATAGAGTAAAATGATGACATTGAAAATAACAAAGTAATAGGGAGAATCAACAAGTCAAAATCTGATTAAGTGAAGAAGACAGAGAGTTGAAAAACCTTTGATAACATTTATAAGATTTGATAATTTTCAATATTTGATGGTATTAGAGAGAGAGCACAAATAATATTTTGAATTTTTTATGGGAGCATTCACACAAGAACTAAGATTTAAAAAAATCATTAGAAAATATAAACAAATTCATGACAATACATTTGAAAACTTGGATGAAATGGATAATTTTCAAATAAAATATTAATTACCAAAGTTGACTCAAGAAACAAATAGAACTCTTGACCAAATCAATGCTTATTTAAAAAAATTGAATAGGTAATCAAAATCTGCCTCCTCCTCAACCCCCACCTAATTCCAGACTCAAATATTTTAAGAGGTAAGGTTTACTACATTTTTAGGGAAAAGGACTCTCTAGCTTATACAAATGTTCCAGAGAGTATATATAAAGAGAGTTGGAAAACTGCTTAACATGTTTTATGAGTGATATAACTTTTATAGCAAAACTGCATAAGGAAAGTACTAGAAAGGAAATTAGAAACTCATTTAATCACATAGATGCAAATATCTTAAATAAAATATTAACAAATTAAATCTAAGATTGTGTATTAAAAAGTTAATTGGACTAGCTTGGGTTTATTCCATTAATGGGAGGATGGTTTGAACATTAGAAAAAATATTAGTATACTTTGTTACATTAAAAGATTAAATGAACAAAACCACATGATTATCTTAACAAATATAGAAAAATCTTAAAAAAAAATGTAGCACTCATTCATGATGAAAGCTCTTAGGACATAGGAATATAAGAAACTTTCCTTAAGACTTTCAATCAAAAATGTGAAGTAAACTTACTACTATTGAATCTTTAGAAAACTCTTTAAAGTCAGAAACAAGACTGTAATGTTCACTATCATGGCTTCTATTCATCATTCATCATTTTTTTATTTTGGTATCATTAATCTACAATTACATGAGGAACATTCTGTTTACTAGGCTCCCCCCTTCACCAAGTCCACCCCACAAACCCCATTATAGTCATTGTCCATCAGCATAGTAACACGCTGTAGAGTCACTACTTGTCTTCTTTGTGTTGCACAGCCTCCTCATGCCTCCTGCCACATTATACATGCTAATCATAGTGCCCATTTCTCCCCCACCCCCTTGTCACTCCCTTCCCACCCATGCTCCCTAGTCTCTTTTCCTTTGGTAACTGTTAGTCCATTCTTGGGTTCTGTGATTCTGCTGCTGTTTTGTTCCTCCAGTTTTTTCTTTGTTCTTATACTACACATATGAGTGAAATCATATGGTACTTCTCTTTCTCTGCCTGGCTTACTTCACTGAGCATAATACTCTCTAGCTCCATCCATGTTGCAAATGGTAGGATTTTTTTTTCTTCGTATGGCTGGATAATATTCCATTGTGTATATGTACCACATCTTCTTTATCCATTCATCTACTGATGGACACTTAGGTTGCTTCCATTTCTTGGCCATTATAAATAGTGCTGTGATAAACATAGGGGTGCATCTGTCTTTTTCAAACTGGGCTCCTGCATTCTTAGGGTAAATTCCTAGAAGTGGAATT